GCTTTGCGCCTTTCCTGGAACTCACTTGGTAGTCCAGGCTGGCCTCGAACTCACAGAGATCCGCCTGCCTCTGCCTCCCAAGTGCTAGGATTAAAGGTGTGCACTACCACCGCCCGGCTATATTTTTTATTTTTAAATAAAACAATTCCAAATGTATCACATTTGTGGAAGTATTAGAAATCTAAAAATCACTTTAATCACACTTGTGAATGACAATACTATTATGGATGTGTTTTCTTACAAAAATGGTCCTTATATGTATTTATCTCAGATAAATGACAAAATATTTAAAAATAAAATAGGGTATTAGAGATTTACTTCAAAATAATATGTGCCAAAGACCTAACTAAGCATTTATTTTTTTTAGAATATGTGTGTGTGTGTGTGTGTGTGTGTGTGTGTGTGTGTGTATGCCAAGTATTTGTGGGTGTCCAAGGAGACCAGAAGAGCTGCTGGAACAGCTGGGGATGAATGAGGATCAGTTGTGAGCTGCCCAATAAGGTGCTAAGAACTGAACTCAGGTCATTTGGAAGAACAGCAAACACTCTTAACTGTTGATCCACCTCTCCAGCTCCCTAACTAACATTTATTAAAAGACTTTCAAATGGCCATCAGGTGTATGAAAAATGATCATGATCACTGATCATCAGGGAAATGCAAATTATAACCATGATATCACATCACCTCACACCTGTTAGATGGACTATTATCAAAAGGACAAAAAGGAGGTGCTGGTGAAGGTGTACAGAAAATGGAACCTGTGAACTTTTGATGAGATTGTATTTATACAGCCATTATGGAAAACAAACTGGAGGTCCTTCAAAAACCAAGAATTTGATTCTTCCCAAGTGGTCCATTAACTCTACTTCAGAGTATATAGCCAAAGAAACTTAAAGGGCCACTGCACTTCCTTGTTCACTGGAATATTATTCACAATAGCTAAACAGAGATGTAAATCAGATGCTCATCAATGTATGAATGGATAAATAAAATGTGGTGTATATACACAGCAGAATATTATTAAGCCTTCAAAAGGGACGGACTCTCTTTTCAAACATCATGGATAAACATGGAGGGCATTGTGCTAAATGATATAAGCCAGGGAGAGAAAGACAAATACTGTATGATCTCACTTAGATGTTGAATCTAAAGAAGTTAGAATTCATAGCAGTGAAGCGTAGAATGATGGAGCTGGGCGGTGGTGGCACAAAACTTTAATCCTAGCACTCAGGAGACAGAGGCAGGTAATTCTCTGTGAGTTCGAGGCCAGCCTGGTCTCCAAAGCAAGTTCCAGGAAAGGCACAAAGCTACACAGAGAAATCCTGTCTGGAGTGGGGGGGGGAGGGGAAGAGTAGAATGATTGGTTACCAGGGGCTGAGGAAAGGGTAGATGTAAGGGAGAAATCCTGATAAAAGGATACAAAATATCAGTTAGGCAAGAGCAACAAGCTTTAATGATAATGTCTACAGAATAAATAGTAATACATTGTATATTTCAAAAATGCTAAATTGTTTAGTGTTCTTTCACAAAACCAAGTGACAAGTGGGAGCTGAAGAGATGGCTCTATAGTTCAGAGAAGCTGTTGCTCTATAGAGGCCCTGGGTCGGATTCCCAGCACCCACATGCAGGCTCACAACCATCTGTAACTTCTGTACTAGGGGATTTGATGCTCTCTTCTGACCTCTGTGGGCATGAGGCACACATGTAAAGCACATACATACATGCAGGCAAAACACTCACACATACTTTTTTTAATCTTTGAAAAAATGTATGTGAGGTGATGGATTTCTCAACTAACCTGATTTCATCATTCTACATGGTGAAAGACATCAAAATATCATATTGTCTCTCATAAACCTACAGAATTATCAATTAAAACAAAAGTAAGTAAAATTATATGAATACTATTCAGAAATGAACAGCATGGGAGGAAACCCATGGAAACAGCATGGGAGTAGATAACAGAAAAATTATGTCATTTTATTATTTCATATTTTACACATATTTAATTTTCTATTATAAATAAGGCAGAAAAGAGGGTGACTAAGATGTCATATATCAGTACCCAAAGCAGTAGCTGGCAGATTTAAATCCCTAAAACCATTAGCACTTGGAAAAAATATGAAATATTTTTGAAAACCTCTAAAGCCCTCAGAGGTGTGATGCTTTGTGATTCCTCAGACTCTTGATTCTGCAGCCAAACCTTTTTTGGGGGGGCGGGGTTTGAGTCAGGATTTCACTGTGTAGCCCTGTCTGTCCTTGACACCAAGCTATCCTTGAACCCATAGAGATCTGTCTGCCTCTGCCTCTGCCTCCTGAATTCTGGGATTAAAGGCGTGCGCCACTATTGACTAGTGTGCAGCCCAGACAAATGCTAAATTTTGACTCCAGAAAGACCTCAGTGAGCTCTGGTCTTCATTGAGGGGTCATAGTGCCTGCAGACACTGAGGTACCAGGAGACTCCTGGCCAAAAATAGCAGAAGCCTAGCAGAATGGTGAGTAGCCCACAGCCCCATCTGGAGAGGAAAGACTTGATGTTTCTGGTCCCACCCTGAATTGCCTGGATGATTTTTGGAAAAGAGTTGAGGTCCTGTATGCACAGACAGGAGAGAGCCAGGTTAATGGTATTATTTGTGTTGATTCTCATATGTTCATAGACTGATGAGGTTTGTAGAAAGACAGGTGGGTGTGGTGGTATTGTGTTCCCCCAAATATTGTGCACTCTAATAAACTTATCTGGGGTCAGAGACAGAACAGCCACAATATTAAACATAGAAGTTAGCCAGGGGTAGCACACGCCTTTAATCCTAGCATTCCAGGACAGAGATCTACCTGTATCTCCATGTGTTCAAGGATACAGCCAAGCATGGTAACTCATGCCTTTAACCCCAGAAAGTGAGCTTTTAATCCCAGGGAGTGATGGTAGAAAGCAGAAAAGTATATAAGGCGTGAAGACCAGAAACTAGCAGCATTTGGCTGGCTAAGCTTTTGGGCTTCTAGCAGCAGTTCAGCTGAGATCCATTCGGATATGAGGACTCAGAGGCTTCCAGTCTGAGGAAACAGAATCAGCTGAGGAACTGGCAAGGTAAGGAAGCTGTGGCTTGTTCTGCTTCTCTGATCTTCCAGCATTCATCCCAATGCCTGGTCTCAGGTTTGTTCTTATTAATAAGACCTGTTAAGATTTCTGCTACAGTGCTCGCTTCGGCAGCACATATACTAAAAAAAAAAAATTGGAACGATACAGAGAAGATTAGCATGGCCCCTGCGCAAGGATGACACGCAAATTCGTGAAGCGTTCCATATAAAAAAAAAAAAAAAAAAGATTTCTGCTACAGGTGGGTTATTATGGCTCACAGAAAGGTAAAGATGACCTGAACCAACCGGAAAGGCTTCCTAGATACTCAATCTGTCACCTTTCTGTGGGAAGAGAACTAATGCTGCCTTCTGCTTTAGGTCATTTAAAACCCAGTGGATTTAGTTGCTTGGTACCTGGGCAAAGCTCAGGGGTCACAGCACACAGCCCCCTCTTTTCCTGAGCAAATATTCTTAAATCAGTTGTGTTCAACTTTTGGAGAGCATCAGAATCATGAGTTGAAAGTGCAGGTGTCAATCAACTCCACACCAGACTTCTGAGGGCAAGCCTAGAAGAACCATAGTCCTTAATAAACCCTTAGGCTTCCAGAACAGGTTGTCTTTCAAGATAAAGGGGAGGAGCAGGAAGCTTTTACTCACTCACTCCCCTTCCCACCAGTTCCAACTAAGGACATACAAGACTACCGTGTCCCTAACCTATAGGGCAAATGCTTGCAATGTGTCTTAATGGTGATGGAGAGTCACAGAACAGTCCAAAGATGACAAGTCCAAAAGACAAATATAGACATAAAGATAGAGATTTAGGTTTACTTTTCTTTCATCACTGTGAGGGACATTTGACAGAAGCAGCGTAAGGGAGAAGAGGTTTACATTGGCTTATGGTTTCAGGGGAGTTTCAGTTCATCATGCAGGGCAGGCACAGCACACTGAGGAGCTACTTAATCAGTGCTGATGGTGGGAGTGTGTGGCTCCTCACATGGAGGCTGGATGGAGAAGCAAACAGGACTGGAAGAGAGGCCAAGTTAGAACCCTCAGGGGCCTGTTTTCAGTGACCCAGCTGCACCAGGGAGGGTCACAAGTTCTTAGGATAGCACTACCAGCTGGAGACCAGGTGTTCAAACACATGCACCATGGGGACAATTCATGCACAAATTGTTAATGGCCAAGGCCAGTTGATGTCTATTTCTGTGAAACTCATGCCTGACTTCCCTCCTGCTGATCTGACCAGCTCATGCAGAGATTGCCAGTCTTTCCAATTGCTCTCTCTTCCTGTGGATCCAAGAAGAGAGGGAGGCCTCCTGGAAGAGAGCAGACATGTGTGGTGATATTGTGTTCCCCAAAATATTGTGCACCCTAATAAACTTATCTGGGGTCAGAGAAAAGAACAGTCATTAGAGATAGAGGCCAGAAAATGGTGGCACTCACACCTTTAATCCTAGCATTCCAGAGGCAGAGATCTGCCTGGATCTCTGTGAATTCAAGGCCACACTGGAAACAGCCAGGTGTGGTAACAAGAGCCTTTAATCCCAGGAAGTGATGGCAGGAAGGAGAAAGGTATAAAAGGCATGAGAACCAGGAACTAGGCTAGTTAAGTTTTTAGGCTTTTGAGCAGCAGTTTAGCTGAGGTTCATTCTGGATGAGGACTCAGAGGCTTCCAGTCTGAGGAAATGGAATCAGCTGAGGAACTGGCAAGGTGAGGTAGCTGTGGCTTGTTCTGTTTCTCTGATCTTCCAGCATTCACCCCAATACCTGGCTTGGGTTTGTTTTTATTAATAAGAACTTTTAAGATTCATGCTACAGACATGGCAGGTAGGGCTGGCTGCCTGAGGACACCCTCTGAGCTGCAAACCCGGGACATGAAATACCAAAAGGAAAGAAGACCCCGCCACCACCCTGTGGCCAGCCTAACTCCATGCACTCCCCTCCACCCTCTGTCTTCTTCAGAATATTCCAGTCATCTCTACTCAGTCCTTCCCAGTCTTTCAACATTCTAATTCTTTTCTATCCCTCTCTCTTCTTTGCTTAAAGAGACAGAACATGCCATAGTCCTATTGAAATCCCAGCTAGGGCTCCCCTTTGCCTCAAAAATAGTCTGCTACCCTGACCAACATCAAAGGCCTCATCCTCCTCTTCTGCTTTGCCTAGTCATCTGTCCATCCCACCTCCTGCCTGGTCTACAACCATCTGGCCCTCTGTACCTCTGCTCCTGTGGGTCCTTATCCAGGAGCACCCTCTCCAGTCCATGACCTCCTCTACCCTTCACAGAAGTTTCCCCAGTGCCCCCATCAAAATGAGCAGCTCTCTCCATCCAGAGCAGGTTCCTGTCAACGGGAGTCAAACATCTGTTTCATTCTGTTATCAGTTCCGCATGTTGTGTCTCATACTAGATGGAATCTTCCTTCAGAACATGCCTGGCTTGGTGTGTTTATTATAGATGGGGACTTAACTTGTTCATTGACTAAACAAACTGTCCTCTAATGTTTGAAAGATGAAAGTTTGTTTTCTAAGTAAGCCAGCCACCACTAATGCCCACGGCAAACAGGAACCCCCAAATGGGGGTGTAAAACTGTCTTCCACCCCCACTCCCTAGCAAGGGCTCGCCTTCCTTAACCAACTTAACTTCAGTTACTGGGGACAGTGTGGTGGTATTGTGTTCCCCAAAATATTGTGTAGCCTAATAAACTTATCTGGGGTCAGAGAACAGAAAAGCCGCTAGATACTTAGGATAGGCAGTGGTAGCACATGCCTTTAATCCTACCATTCCAGGGGCAGAAATCCATGTGTTCAAGGATACAGCCAAGCATGGTGACTCATGCCTTTAATCCCAGGGAGTGATGGTAGAAAGCAGAAAGGTATATAAGGCATGAGGACCAGAAACTAGAAGCATTTGGCTGGTTAAGCATTTGGCTGGTTAAGCATTTGGCTGGTTAAGCATTTGGCTGGTTAAGCTTTCAGGCTTTCGAGCAGCAGTTCAGCTGAGATTCATTCTGGATGAGGACTCAGAGGCTTCCAGTCTGAGGAAACAAGACCAGCTGAGGAACTGGCGAGGTGAGGTAGCTGTGGCTTGTTCTGTCTCTCTGATCTTCCAGTGTTCACCCCAATACCTGGCTCAGGTTTGATTTCATTAATAAGAACTGTTAAGATTCCTGCTACAGGACAGTGTCTAAGTCAGCTGCTAGAGATATACTGTGGATTGAGCAGCTTAAATACAACAGGAAGGTATTGTTTATAAATCTGGAGGCTAGAGGCCCCTGATCAGGACACCAGCATGGCCGGGTTCTAGTGAGGGCATCCTTCTGGCTTGCACACTGAAAGCTTCTCCCTGAATTTTAACATGGTAAAGAGACTGTGAAAGAGACCTCTAGGTTGTTTTCACAAGGACATTGATCTATCCATGAAGTCTCTACCCCAATACTTAATTACCTCCCAAAGGCTCCATTTTCTAATTCTATGTTGCTGGGTCTAGGATATTCACATGAAATAGGGGGCACAAACATTCTGCCCATGCATAGGAGAGCTTCTGTGCTACCCCATAGGTCCTCTTGGCAATTGAGACTCCTTCTGAACTATAAACGGCCTAAGAAACTTCTAGAGCCCCAGAGTTATGATACTTTTTATCATTGTTACAGAATGCCTGTGCTAAATAACTTAAAAGGAGGAATAACGGTTCATTTTTTCAAAGGTTTCAATCCATGGTTGGCTACTCCCATCACTTTGGGTAGGTGGTAAGTAAGAGCCTCATGGTGGGCACACATAGTGGAGCAAAGCTGATCACCTCATAACAGCCAGGAATCAATGAGAGATTAGAAGGAGATGGTCCTAAAACATAAAACATGCCCCTGTAATCTTCCAAATAGGTCTTACTTCCTAAAAGTTCAGCCATCTCCTAATAGATATCAGCTGCATACCTAAGCCTTCAAAGTGTGAAATTTGGCTAGAAATCTAAGGTCCCAAACAACATATTATTAGAGTACTTACCAAGGAGCTGTGCCAGCTATGGATCTGGCCTCGAGTTGATACACACAGGCACAGCAGAGATACAATCACTATGCCCATCAGTCATGTAGATGGCAGACCCTTATAGTCAACAGACAGCAGATGCAGAGGGTACACACAGTCAATCCTGAAAGAGACTGAGCCAGCATGGCTTATTACACATCCCTGTGAGTGACCAGGGAAGAGCTTCTTTCCTTGACCTCATGGTCTCAAATCTTGAAGAGACTGAAACATAATTTGGGAGTAATAAGACCCATTCTATACCCCTTCAAGCCAGAAGCACTTTATGCATTTGCTCAAAGAAGATCCACTCCTACAATGGATCTTTTGGAGGGAAGACATTTTAGATTACACACCACAGGTAAAGCCTCATTTAAAAAAACTCACCTTTAACAATTCCCTGTCAGTCCTCCAGCCCTTCAGCCATCTCGTCTCCTGTTATGATTCACATCTATTGTGTCCCTAAGGGCTCACACACTCTTAGTCCCCAGGGCAGCAATATTCAGAGGTGAGGCTTCTGGGAAATGATTGCATTCTGATGGCTGTGACCTAATCTGTGGGTTAATCTGCTGACAGGTTCATAATCTAGTAGCTTTAGGAGGTAATAGAAGCTAGGAGATAGGGCTAAGTTGGAGGAAGCAGGTCACTGGGGAGTGTGCCCTAAGAAGGCTATGTCTTATCCCTGGTTCGTGTTAATGTTTCTCCCTCTCTCTCCCTCTCTCCCTCTCCTTACCTCTCTATCTCTCCTCCTTCCCTCCCCTGTCTCCTGCCTGCCCTAAGCAGCTCTGCCATGATGTTTGTTTGTGTTCACTTAGGACCCAAAAGCCATTGAGCCAAGTGACCTGAACTGAAACCTTTGATATTATGACCCAAAACAAATCTGTTCTCCTTTAAGTTGATGTTTTCAGATATTTTGTCACAATGTATTAAGTCACTGCTCAAATTGTTCTGTTATCCTCATTTCTGGTCCTTACCAGAATCCCTAGTATGCAAAAAGGACACTAGCCATCTATTTTGACTGGCAAGACGGATATACTTATCCTCTGGCCACATCCTAGGCCTCTTAAAATATACTCTTAAGTTCAACCCCCACTCCAAAAATAGATATCTTGGTGTGAGAAAGAGTGTCATCAAGAGAATAAACTAGTCTCCACAATGACACAATAATAATATCACTGTTTTATTTCTTTCATGAATTGGGCACTGATTTAGGCTCTGACTTGCAATGCCTCACAGGTTGCCTCCAGATCATCTGAAGTAGGTAGCCTGACTAATAAGATAAGGAAATCTAGTCCTAGGAGGATTGAGCAGCTACACCAAAGTCAAACACTAATAGAAGACAAATGACCACTGTTTTTGAATGGCAAAGATTTGAACAGCCATTTCTCAAAAACATCAAATGATCCGTGAGCACAGGAAATAGTGCTCACAGCATTAGGGTGATACAAGCTAAAACAATGAAATGCCACTTCACACTCACTAGAATGGCTGTAACCCGAAAGACAGATGATAAGAGCTGGTAAGGGTATAGAAATGTAGACTCCTCCTGCAGCACTGCTGGGACTGTAAAGTGGTTCAGTCACTCTGTCGAGCAGTTTGGCAGCTCCTCCAGAAGTTAAACATAGGATTACCATAGGATTCATCAAGTCTTATTCCAAGGCATGTGTGCCACAGGATGGATAACATATACACACAAATACCAGTATCCAGATGTTCATATCAATACAACTCAAAACCAGAAAGTGTAAACATCACAAGTGCCCATGGAAAGACAAGAGGCTGGATGAAAAGAAATACAATAGACCCTTTAATACAATTTTATGCAGTGAAATGAGGATGCTGATCCATGCTGTGGAATGAATAAGCCTCCCAAACACTATGCTAAATGAAGACCATAAATACAAAAGGCTGTAGATTGTGTGATTTGAATGACATGACATGCCTGAAATAGCCAAATCACAGAAATAGAAAATAAATCAGGGGCTGCTCAGGGCTGGAGGGAGGAGAAGTGGGAAGTTATTGCTCATGAACATGGAGTTTTATTTTTAGTGATGATGAGATAATCTAGAATTAGATAGTATCAGTAGTTGCAAAATCTTGTAGAGTATACCAAAAAAACTGGGTTGTATGCTTTCAAGGGTAATTTTTATAGTACGTGAATTACATCTCAAAAAATGCCAGCTAATAAACACAACAGCCAAGAGTCTAAGTGAGCACTCAGGCTCTGGCATCTGTCCTACTCAGAGTTGGTCACAGTCAGGGCCACTTATGAGGAATATTTTATTAACACATTTTGCTGGGATAGAAACTTTTTTTTCCAATAAGGTTTCATGTAGCCCAGGCTGGCCTTGAACTTGCTGTGTAGCTGAGAATGACCCTGAACTTCTCATCCTCCTGTCTCCACCTCCCAGGTGCTGGGATTACAAGTGTGTGGCACCCTAACCCTAACCCTGGCTTATGAGGTACTAGGAATCCAACCTGGCAACTTGTGCATTCTAGGCAAGCAGTCTACCCACTGAGCTTCATCCCCAGCAGGGAAGCTGACATTTCTTCTTACTCCATGACTTTGGGAAGGATGTCCTGTACTTACAGCTAATTGCATCAAAGGTGGGTCTGGAGTACTTGCAACCTGATCAGAACTGTGGCATCAATAGCTTGCTCAGATGGACCAGGACAATCAGATTCCCACCCTCCGCATTTACCTTCTCTCTGGGATTTGGGACTGGGAATGAGGGATGAAAAGTCAAAGCAGGAGAGCTGGGCATGAGGACATGAGGAAGGCCTGGATTCAAGTCAGCCTCCAGAGACAGTGAGCCAACAGAAACCAGGATGAAGCAGCAATGGCCCAGAAGCCAAGTGTGGAGCCAGAATAGGAAGGAGAGGGCAGTGAGTGAAAGACAGCCTGGGGCAGATGCCGTCCTTGCGCCGTCCTGCTCCTCAGGCCTCCAGGACTCTGACACTAATATTCCTGGAGCCCTTCATTGGGCCCCACAGTACCCACCTGTCCTGCACTTGAGCTAGTTCAAGTGGGATCTGCTGCCACTGCTGCACTGAAAGAGCTCGGACCCTCAGCAGGCATTTGTAGCCTCCAACCTTGAGCTTCCTGAACTGGTGGCCTTGGCAAGAGCCTCTTGGTGAGCTGTCCCTTTCAGAGAAAACAGCAAATCCCAAAAGACAGTGTGGGAAAACAGGCAAGACAGCATAGGCAGCTGCCTGAGAATCAGGCAGAGCCCAGGAAGCAATAACTAGACAGGGGCTTACAAGACTCTTGGCCATGCCCAGCAAAGCGCAGGTGTCACCAGGTGTGTACCTGATGGGTGTGGTCCATACCTTTCCTTTGTCTCCTGACTTGATATGATTTAGATGCTGCCCCCCCATCCCCCACTGAACAGAGAATAGGAACCAGTGTGGAACAACCAAGGTAGCTGGGAGGACATCTCCAGGCTGACCTTGAACACATTCGTTTTCTTCAAAGTAAGAAGACATTTCATGTTTCACTTTTAATGAGAAAAGAAAAAGAACTGTTGCTGGAAATATTTACCTTCATCCTCTGTGCCGAGAGACTAGGAGATCTGTCGGCTTTGATCTCCACTTGTTTAATTACCAGGAAATGGAGTACGCCTGAGCTGGCAGGATCAGCAAGGCTCACTCTTCTGCAAAAGTTGGCAGTGGGGCACCCAGAAACCTGGCCTTTCATTTTCCCAGATCAAAGCTGAGCCAGCCCTAAGATGGAAGAGATTTTTGATAAAATGGTGGGGTCTTGCTTGAAGGGGTCACTGGACCAGCTATGAGATCTCCCTTCTCCCTTCCCAACCAAGGGAAGGACCCTGTGCAGGTTACCCATCCCTGGTCTCACAAGCAGTCCCAGATCCACACAGCCCAGGCAGGCATAGAGGTAGCTAAGATATGGAATGCAAGACAAAAGATGGCTTTTAGGGGGATAGACCACCTGTGATGAGGAGGCTGGGGTTTGACTTGTCAGTAACTCAGAGGTAGCTAGTAACCATGGAAACAAGGACAGACAACATCCAGGGAGGGCACTGCTGGTCGTGTTTCAGAGCATCCAGGCCTCCTTAATATACTCACCTCTAAATAATGTAGATAACACTGCCTAAAAGACTTTTAATGTGTGCCTTTGTGGTTCTATGCACTGAAGGGCTGTGTGGATGAGGATCAAGAAGGGGCTCCCTAAGATTATAGTTGGAAGCTTCTACGCAGGCACTGAGGCCACTGGTAAGAACAAAGTTGCCGGGTGTGTAGGGTGCTGGGACTGCTTACTTCTGTGCTACTTAATGAAGAAGGCACATGGCATGATGATGATGACAATACTGATGATGAGGATTACTGTTTATTGAGCATTCATTCAGCCAGGTGCTTTAAAAAGATTTAATCCTCCCAGACACATTGGGAGTCAGTACTACTATTATCCCCATCTGACAGATAAAGAAACCAAAGTCAGGGAGGTAAGTCACTCATTCAGCTTCACATAGCTGCTAAGTCACAGAGGACAATGTAAAGATGTTACACTCTCCTTATATTCCAACCAGAGAGAGAGGGGAAAAACCCTTCTGAAACAACAAGATAAACCAACAAAGGAACATGGCATACTCTTAAAATGCCCAGTTTTAGCAAAGAGTCAGAAAATTAAAGCCTATTAAACCTGAGGGTTGCAAGAGAAAGACCAGTTCCACAATTTTTGAGCCAAATTTGAAGCAAGCTTTAATCAAACACTGGCCAGGATGATGGACTCTGGCCAGGACCACTTTGGGGTTCCCAGAAAGCCAGAAAATGGGAATGAGTCACATTTCACAGAGGCTTAAAAAGCCAAACCCATAAGGCCACCGTATTTCCCATCAGGTCCAATTGGGGCAAGCATATATCCTGATATACTTTCTGCCTGTGTACCTCCTGCCTACATCCAATCAGGGGCAATCAGGGACAGGCATACATCCTGACATATTTCCGTCCTACGAACTTCCTGCCTACATGTGATCAAGCACATTCAGTGCAGTTGGGTCAAACAAACTTGTTTAGGGGAGTGAAAACAAACCATAGCCTCCAGCATTTCAGGAAGGATCTGTCCTTAGGCAAGGGGCTTACAGGTTAGAGGCATTTTTGTTTCATGGATCTCTTAGGCACAGTAATTAAAACTTAAAACATAACTTTGGCTCTCACAAGACCTTGCACCAAACACAGCACACTGCCTGTTTCTATAAATAAAGTTGGATTGGCACATAGCCACCCCCATTTGTGACACGTTGTCTAGAACTACTTTTACCTTGCACTGGCAGAATCAAGAGCTCTCAATAGAGACCTAAAATATTTATCCTCTGGCCCTTTAAAGTTTGCCAAGGCCCTCTCCTACAATCAGTTGGCTCTGTTTGCCTGGGTCTGGTGGAGAGCTTGAGATGCAAGACTTTATATTTTAAAACCAGTGAAGTCCTGGACAAACTGAGACATCTTTCCTGCCTCAGGGAGAGTGGGGCTCTCAGTGCAGTTCTATGATATATGTAGGGCATCAGGAGCATTCCAAACAGGAAAGGCCAGTGGGAATCTGGAAGAAGACAAGCACAAGACAGTTGTTGGGGGTAAGGCTAGGTGATGGCCCAGAGCACAGTGCCTACTGGGAAGCATCTACCAAAACCTCCACCAAAGTGACATTCATGCAACATTGGTATCAAAAACTGGTCCCATCTGCTAGACAGTCTGTAAATGTATGCCCAGATGTTGAGTGTTGAGGTGCATGTGCCTTTGGGGAGGTGACTATATGAATAAGCCTAAATCAATATGACTCCCCCTCTCCAACCTTTTTTTGAGCAGGGTCTCATGTAGCCCAAGATAACCTCAAGCTCTTTTTGTAGCTAAGGATGACCTTCAACTTCTGGTCCTCCTGCCTTCACCTCCTGAGTGCTGGGATCACAGGTATGCATCACTACACCCAGCTGATGAAGTGCTAAGGATCAAACCCAAGGTTCCTCCAATTCTAGGCAAGCACCTGACAAATGAACCCCACCCCAGCTTTACCCTTGCCTCTTGAAAGGTGATTTTGAAGGTCTTCTCACTTTGATCCCTTGGTTTTGAGTTCAGACAAGCAATCTGACATGCTCAAAGTGATGTTAGCTGACCTGACTCCAACAGAGATTTTAAAAGCCCTTATGTGATTTCTTCATCTCTCTCATTCTTTTAACTGGAGAATATGTCTGCACACTGTATAGCAAAACAAAGCCATCTTAGTTTCCCTGGTCAAGGATATCTGAGGTTACCCTACTAGTCACTGACTCACAGACAAGAACAAGCCCAGCGTAGCCCAGAAAAGCAGCCCAAATGGGTTCAGCCTAAATTGCCAACTGTAAACTTGTGAGCTCAACAAATGCCCTATTTTAAGCTACTAAATCTGGACACTGTTTGTTACACAGCATTACTGTGCAAATAAGTAGCTGACAACTAGGTTAAATGATGGGATATCAGCCATTAAAATATACAATGCTTATCAGTATTTGCTGATATGGAAAGATATCCACTCACATTAATTAAAAACACTGCAAAAACTGTGCCTAAAGGCTGGAGAGATAGCTCAGTCAGTCAAGTATTTGTTGCCCAATATGAGGACCTGAGTTTGACCCCTAGCACCATATAAGAAGCTGACACATGTAGCATGCACTTGTAATCCCAGTGTGGGGGAGACAGAGATAGAACAGCCTGGCCCATTTAGTGATTCCCAGTCACAGTAAAAGACTATGTCTCAAAAAACAAGACAGACAGCTCCTGAGGAACAATACCTATGGCTGACCTCTGGCCTCTACATACACACATGCACTTGCACACTCATGAAGATGCACATGCGCGCGTGCACACACACACACGTATTTAAGGTGTAAACTATTTTCCCCAAAATTTGAGAGAGAAAATATCAACATTGATTTTTTTTAAGTCATAGATTCTTTATCCTATTCTGTGTTTCTTGAATTTTTAAAATGTTTACATGCTATCTTTACAGACAAAAAAAACTGGAAATATCACCAAAGAAATGTTTCTATCTACATTTTTCAGAATGTAACCTTCCAATCCTAGAAAAACTGCTCTCTGTGTCCCTGCTATCTACCCTAGAATAGAATGCAACCTTGAGTTATTTGCACAGGCCCAGGAGTTCTTATTTGCACTGATCCCATGTCAGTGGGGGGTGGGGTGGGTACAAAGTCCCAGAAAGATATTCCATGAAAACCCTAGGGAAGAAATCCTCCTTTCCAACTCTCTACAAATAGAGCAAAGGAAATTAGCCATGGAACCAACCCCAACCATGTTTTTAGAAATCCGTCCATGTAAGTCATAATATTTTGGAAGTGAGATTTACTTTAGAATATTTTAATAACTCTAGCACTGTGACTAGAAGTCCTTTGTAGCTGGTCTCAGGGGCCTTCCTGGGATGCTGTACTTAATGAGGTTTATAATTCAATATAACTACATCTGCATCTTTAATTATGCCTAACATTTAATCTTCATTGCTCCACTTGAATTGGAAGAGCTAAAATTAGGCCTGCTGTAGTTTAATCTGATAATAAACATCCATGACATTTAGAGCAAAAATGTACTCATTTCATTAGAGTAGCCGACACATTTACCATTTGCCTGAATTGAACAAACACTCTCACAGCCCTCCTGACTATAGCAGAGATCACTGTTTTAAAGGATATTCCTATTGACATTCTGGACTCTGATATGTACAAGGTCTTGGAGGTTAAGTATCCAACACTATATGATTTTACAATCAAGGACATTAACTGAATTTTAAGATAAATTGGCCCAAGGATATACAGCAAGTTAACAGGTGGAATGTGTTATAGGATATAAGACCCAGGATTTTTTTTTTTTTTTTTTGAGACAAAGTCTCACAATGTAGCTCTGGCCTAGAAGTTGGTATGTAGATCATGCTGGTTTAGTTCTCACAGAGACCCACCTAGGATTCTTTAGTCCTTTTTTGGCCAATAGATCATAGTAGTATTCCTCTACTGCCACCATGTCACAGATGGTCAAATAGAATATTTTGCTGGCCAAGCACCCATCAGACATCACCATCTCCCTTTTCTTAAGGAACCCAGGAAAAGTGCCTAAACCTGAGCTCCATTAACCATAGCAAAAAGGGGAGGGGAGAAAAAAAGGTGTATCCTCACTAAAATTTAAATATCTCTTTAGGCCAATCTCCTTCTTCCCCCAGTACCTCAAAAAAATCATTAAGTAAGATGAAGCTCTGGCCTGGTTGGCTGCAGGTCCAGGAACAATCAGAAGTGGTCTATATGTGAGGGGGCACAGTAAAGAAATGATCAAAATGGCCCCTCCACGGTTGGATGGGGTTATTGTGGGTAAGAGAGAGAGAACACCCAGAGGCTTCTGGAAGAGTCCAGAACATAAGGAAAAAGAAGCAGACTAGACATGGCCAGGGATGTATGTGAGAGAAGGGAGAAGAGTAGGGAATAGTAAGAGAGGTTATCGAGAATAACAGGAATCGTGGAAGCAGGGTGAAAACCCTGTCATCATATAGAGAATGGAGGGGTATCTGGAGAGCACCAGAGGAAAGCCTGTTAACTGAAACAGCCTGGGAGCTTAGGGTAAAAAGAAGGGTGAGAGGGGCCAGGATGCTAGTGTGGACTTTGATACGCATAACTTGTAGTTGTGAGTAGGAACTGAGGGAGCCTGGATGCCAGCATGAGCCTTGATATGCAACCACA